ACAGGTGAAATAATTGCGCAGTACGTACTTAGACTTCTCATTCGGGTTTTATTTGCTAATCATGTCATGGCATACTTAGAAGTGACGCCGCCAACCAAGAAGATGTAGATGCAGCTGTTGAAAACGCACATCAAGTTTTCAAATCGGGGATATGGTCAAACGCGTCGAGACATGATCGCGCCCGTGTTCTCGAAAAAATCGCCGAAATCATGACGCGAGAGCTTCCAAAACTGATCCGCTTGGAAGTGAAGCAGACCGGTCGCGCCATCCGCGAAATGAACGCCCAGATTCCCTCCCTGCTTCGCTGGTTCAAATACTACGCCAGCTTGCTACTCACCGAAGAGCTGCCTGTTCTACCCACCGCGGGCAAATTGCACAACTGGCTGGAAAGAGTGCCCCTGGGTGTCGTCGTGCAGATCACGCCCTTCAACCACCCTATGCTCATTGCGGTCAAGAAGCTTGCGCCAGCTCTCGCCGCGGGCAACAGCATCGTCTTGAAGCCTAGCGAATTGACGCCCATGACTAGCCTGCTTCTTGGGCAGATGTTCAAGGCGGCGGGTGTTCCAGACGGGGTGGTCAACATCCTGCCGGGATACGGAGCGGTGACGGGAAAGGCCCTCGTCAGCCACGCGCTGGTGAGAAAAGTCGACGTCACCGGCGGCACGAGTGCTGGGCAGGCCATCGGATCCATCGTTGGAGGAAACCTCGCTCGTTATACGGCGGAGCTTGGAGGCAAGGCCCCTCTGGTCGTGTTTGAACAGGCCAATATCGACGCGGCGGTGAACGGGATCGCATTTGCTTCCTTTATTGCCACTGGTCAGACGTGCGTCGCCGCCACTAGGATCATCGTTCAGAACAGTGTGATGCCCACTCTCCTGGAGAAGTTGCAGCGCAAATGTGACTATATTTTGAGGAATATGGGTTCGCCGCTCAACGAAAGGTCCACCATGGGACCTCTCATTTCACTTCGGCAGCTTCAGAAAGTTGAAGCCCTGGTGGATGAATGTCTCAGTGGGGGAACTGGCCAAGTTCTTTGCGGTGGTCAGAGAATGACTGGGACTTCTGAGCTGGATGGCATCGATTTTGCAAAGGGATACTTCTATCCGCCGACGGTGATTACCTGTGCTGCTGGGAAGAGCGTCACCGAGGCCAGGATATGGCGAGAAGAAGCCTTTGGACCCGTCATTGTCGTGGTCGGGTTTGATAACGAGGAGGAGGGAGTTCTTCTCGCAAATGATAGTGAATTCGGACTGGGGGCTGCCTTGTGGACTCAGGATCTGAGCCAGGCCTTTCGCGTTTCCAAGCAAGTCAACTCTGGGATTGTTTGGGTCAACACACATCATCGGAACGACCCGAGTAGTCCATGGGGCGGCGCTTCGAAATCTAGCGGCGTGGGCAGCGAGAATGGAATAGACGCCTATCACGACTACACGACAACCAAGAGCATCATCATGAATTTCGCGTCGGCTAATGAAATGTTGGCTCAAGACGACTGGTTTAGGGAGGGAGCGGGGGAGGTTCGGTATGGGTAATAAACCTGCTGCGAGATGCCAACTATAGTGTTGAAGAGACTGGAATTATTGAAGGATGCAACGTGGTCACCATGAGAGCTTGAAAGAACGTAGTTGTTCGTACAAACAAGACAGCAAATGAGTAGATTGCCAGTCCAGCATAAACACTGTCCACTATTTAGACTACATGGTGACACAGCCAGCGCCACGTTTCAATCATACAAGGGCACACCCATCTGAGCTTGCCGCATGTTTCTGAGCCATACAATCCATGTTCTTTGCCCGTCTCAATTGCCTTCATCAATGCATGCGGCAAATGAAGCGGACAGAAAGCCGAGTTGCCGCTGCCCCACCACAGCCCACCTTCCCTTTGTCCCACATCGGGGTCATCGGCTTTCAGCCAACGTCGCATGATGCTGTTTGCATGCTTTGACTACGTAAATAGACGGGTTCAATTCCCAACGTCTTTGCCTTGTGCTAATTTCTGTATCTGTAATATTTGACCCAGTCAAACCGATCGAATCAGCAATGGCGGCGTATCCTTCAGCGTTCGTCGTCTTTGACGAGCTCGTCAAAGACCTCTTTGGATCATCGCCAACCCTAGAGCTGCTGCATGAACACGCCGAATACCCATTTGCCCACGAAGCCGGCGTCTTCATTCAGGAAGACAACTCCCTGTTCATCACCAGCAACCAGTTCACGGATCCCAAGACCAAAAACCGCCGTATTCAAATCACCCGCGTCCAGCTTCCCAAGAATGGAGACGGCGGCGTCCAGTGTCAGGAAATCCACCCAGACCAGGTCCCCATGGCCAACGGCGGTGTGAACTACAAGGACGGCATACTCTTCTGTGCTCAGGGAAACCAAGGTGGTCCAGGCGGCCTGGCCTTTATGGAGTCGAAGCCGCCGTACAAGTCGCATCTCATGCTCAGCTCCTTCTACGGCCGGGAATTCAACTCGCTAAACGATGTAGTCGTCCACTCGGACGGCTCGATTTGGTTCACAGATCCAATCTACGGCTTTGAACAAGGCATCCGTCCCAAGCCCAGGCTACCGTGCCAGGTGTACCGATTCGATCCGGACCGGAACGCCGTTCGTGCAGTGGCAGACGGCTTCGGGCGACCAAACGGCATCTGCTTCAGCCCCGACGAGAAAATAGTCTACATCACAGATACAGACTGGATCCACGGGGACGGGACAACTGATGAGTTTCGCGCTTCGCACATGTAAGATATATATACGCTATTCCTGACTCCGTTCCCGGCTCTGGCTAACATGAATGCTGCCAGCTATGCATTCGATCTTGTCAAATACTCCGGCCAGCCGTTCCTAACCAACAGGCGCCTGTTCGCTATGGCGGACACCGGCATCCCCGATGGTATAAAATGCGATGTCCACGGCAACGTTTACAGTGGATGCGGCGACGGAATCAACATTTGGTCGCCGGGCGGTGTTTTACTAGGGAAGATTCTCTTGGAGGGCGGAGCAGCCAACTTTTGTTTCGGGCGCGATGGCGAGATGTTCATTTTGAACGAGCATCGCTTGTGGAGGGCTCAGCTGGCTTCTTCTACAAAGGGCGCACTACTGGGAATTTAGTGAAAGGGGCTTATAACAAAAGATTGTTTATTCATGCCTACTTTTGTTCTCCTCAACTCCGTGACCCCCTGCATGTATGTGTACAAGCCATAGCGCCCTGAATGCCTGTTCCGAACAACATTTTGATCCCTAGCGCCCCGCCCGAAGTTTGTTCTTGCTGAATCGTAAAGGCGAAATTGCAGTGGTTCTCGTCTCACGTTCCCTTGTCCTTGGCCGGTTTCTTCGTTTTGATGCACCTGCTCACGCTGTCGTATGAGATCTTGCCGGCAGGGCGGTTCTTCTTCTGCGCGGCAATCATGTTTCGGAACGTGTCTTGTAATTCACCCACAAAGCCTCTCATTTCGGCCTCGGATAACTTGTTCTGCTTTGCTTCTTTGTTCTTGCTTGCTTCTCCTTCGAGAACGCTGCAGATTGTTTTGGCTAGTTCCTTTCGGCGGTTCTCGTCCGGATCGCGGTGTCCCTCCCATCCGTCCATGACATCTCCGAGCAATTCCTTGACTTTAAGTGTGACGTTGCTGTAGCAGCTGTCAAACATTTTGAGCTCATGATCCCATTCCATGATGTGAAGTTGTTCCTGGGTAGATTCTGGTGTCGTGGGGTGGTTTTGCTCTTTGGTTGTTGTGATGTGACTGTTCGCAAATGAGTTGGAGTGGTTCGCGAGTCGGTAGTGGTGCCGACAGAATAGGAATATTGCGGGAGAAAGTGGAAGGACTTTATATTCTCCTGATGGCATGTGAAACTCGAAAGAACTAAAGACTGAACATGGACATTTGGGATGTCAGCAAAGGCGAGTGAACAATGCGGCGACAATGGCTCATCTCACCAACGGTGTAAGCGGAGGTGAGGCATGAACTGTGCGTTGCCGCCCATGCATCCTGAATATGTTTTATTCATGTGCCGCAGTGAGCATGACCAGTCACAGGGCCATTTTCCTTCATTCGTTTCTAAGTGATACGCAGCACCATTTCTGCTTGGTAAACGGGCAAGTTGCCGCAACTTGCCCTGTCGAGCACCGGCAAGCCATTACTTAGGCTTAAGTGCATGATTTCGAATTCAGGGCAACTGTATAGTTGCACTTTCAGGTATTTTTAATTGGAAATTCATGGATAGAATAAACACAGCCGTCCAACTGTCGCGCATGAGTCACTCTGGCCATGATTCACTCAACACGCAGCCGTTGGTTTGACCACGTTGCAACACAATGCGAACACAGCGCCACCAATTTCACACAAGAAAGGGACCAAACGGATATTGATAACTAAAAAAAATAAAATAGCTAATCGAACCATGAGCTCAATTAAAAAGAAGCGCACCAAGACTACCAAACTGTTGTGGTTGTGGTGGCAGAAAGCAAAAAGAATGTTCCCGCGGGGGGTCGAACCCCGGACCTTGACATTTCTACCATAGAACCAAAGAATAATCCTTAGACTATAAGAGTCACGCGGTAACCACTCCGCTACGGGAACGAATGGCGACGCTCGTTCCGAATTGATCCTAATTCGTATTATAACCCCTAGCGCACGCTGACTAATGAATTAGCTCCGAAAGGACGCGCAACCACAACCTGACTTCTACTACGGTGAACAAGGGCAATCTGAAGAAGAAATTTTGAAACTGTAATGTTTTCTTTACGATGTCGTCTTTGTGCATTTTTGATCAAGTTGTCACGCGCAGACAATTGGGGCGAGAGTACGGAAAACATGATTCAGTTCTAGCGGTGAAGTGGCGACGATGACAAGTTACAACAGAGCAACACGGGGAAACATGGACGTCGGATATTCATGGCGCAAATTACATATTGCTACCTAGCTATCTAGCTGTGAGACACCAGCTAAACATGCAAGACGTTATGGTCTTTACTGCAGAGTCTGCAGAGTGTAGAGGCCGAGATGATCAACCCTTTCCCAAAAAGGCACCATGGAACAGAGTGGTGTGCCGCCACGTCAGGGCGCAGCGGTTTGTTGAAAAACCCCATGCTCTTTGACACCCCTTTTCGTCTTCGTGTGTTCTATACAGTCCTAGAGTTTGGCCTTCTACCAGGGGCTCCTCCACGGCCTCCTCCACCAAATCAAGGTTGACAGTGTCTACCTCCGTGTCTCTGGCGAACTGTTGGAGATATCTCCAGCTCAAATAGTCGATATCTTCAACTCGATGGATGGGATTCTCTTGCCTGTCATCGATGAAGAAGAACGAAGGGGTAGGGCAATTCGTGTAAGGTGGCTTATCGGCCTTGTAAAATCCGGGACTTGGGCTTTAGAGGCATTAGTATCCTGTTTTGAGCAACACGCACACTAGACTCACCCAGTAAGCTGTCCGTTTTTTGGGACAATCTTTTGAAGCCGATAATTTCCTTTCTGGTCCTCTTTCAGTCTTCGAAGCTCTTCTTCATGAGTAATGCACGTAAGATATGTATAGTAATTGCCTTGCCAGCCGTCAAAGGTACACACGAAAGCAAGGTTGGAGGCTTCCATCGTCCATTTGCCATCTTGCGTGAAATGAGCTTGTAGATCAGGCATTGTTGCTGGTCAGATTTCGATGTTGAACAGGATTCAAGTCTGGTGCTATGTGTACTTGTGAGTCGGAGTGACTATTGCGTGAGGGACTCAAGTCGCAGTCGAGAAGTCGGCAGGCCTGTGGCCAAGTTGGTCAATGAGTGACTACCCTGGGACAGCACTTTTTTTTCGGGAAAAAGAGGCCCTTTTATATTGCGGGAGATGAATCACATTCTTATGCACAGCAGGTTTCACTAACAGTGCCTGATATCAGGCAACGACGCATGAAACCGGTTATGCTTTGATCCAGGACAGAAGGAAAATTGCTTCATCTCTACCAATGACCATCCCACCCCGGGGACAATGCACAGCCCAGTTCTGAACAGAGGGAACGAGGTTTCAGCTTTCACGCTTGGGCCACGGTAGGTGTGAACACTCTTCAGGACGAACGAACAAAGCGCCAGAACACAATGCAACGGTAGCTGGACAACTTCAAGGATTGCGTCACAGCAGAGAGCGACTTAAAACGGTGGGACAAAGGATCAGAAAGGCCGTAGAGACGATGTCCGTCTTTGGTGTAATAAGGGGGGCCAGGCCATTTCCTTTGCAATGCCCATCATGATCGTCACAGACCGTACTAGATAGTTTCTATAAGTTTGGCTTTCATCCATCTCTGTGGTTTGGTGTCATGCCTCATACGTTTGGTCAAAGTTGCTTCATCCTCGAGCCGACTACCTCGACCCGAAGTGTGCTTGGCATATTGTGTGAAGACGCACCATGGTCTTGCCACCAAAAGAGAGGGTGTCACAAAGATCCTTCGCTCTTTGAGTCTCGTGGCTGACCACGGATCGTATGTCGCTCAAGATGAAATGCACCCGTAACCAACGGTGGCGTCTCTGCTCCGCATATATACTTTATGGCGTATACACTTGGCATATCTTTTCCTCTTAGCTTTGTATTTGTCATTACATTAATTCGCACAATCCCGTTCGCTTAGGGGTAGAATTCGGGCCTGTTGGCTGAACAGAGACTAACATGGAGGAAGCTTCTGGGATTTGTCACAATTTGCAGCCATGAATCGCCTCGAACAATACTGGTACCGACTTTTAAGTTGCCTAGCTAGCGTCCAATTTGGAACTTGCAAGCTAGATTGAACTTAGTATATATATAGGCCAGACTAATTCTTAAAAAGGGCCGAGTAGGCGACTCACTCGTTGGCATGGACATAATTAAGCCCAAGGAAGCCCAATCTTCTCAATGCATTCTTTTCAAATGATTCAGACCAGACATTCTACCTCTTACTGTGGCTAACAACAGTCTCGTCTTGCGTGTGCTCTTTGCCCAAGGCAAAAAATACGCTTCTCACCATGGCTTACAATCCTCCTAGACGCAGGCAAGATCTACCATCTATGCCCGAGATTGTTCAAAATATTATCAAAAACGTCGACAACCTTCCAGATCTTTTGAACTGTGCCCGCGTCAGCAGGATTTGGCATGTGGAAGCGTTGAGGCGGCTCTATGAAGGATCTATTCATGACATGCGATTCCGTACACCTGACACGAGCTCACTCAATTTTCTGCTCGAGGAATCACGGGAATGCTTCGCCCAAAACATGAGCTTTGTGAAGCACCTCTTGGTCTGTCCGATAACATCCGGAGACGATAGTTCTAGCAGCAGACACTATCAAGCGGCGGGCTACCGCCGACTCCTTGAGCTGCTTCTTCAACCTCGAGGAAGGCGTCCTACCAGTCTCGTCATCCCCTTCGAGTTCATGGGCCAAGATTTGCAGTTGCTTGCGGACCTCCTTCCCGCTCCTACCGTTGAGTTTCTGGCTATTAATCACGGCTATTGCCAACTCGTTGCACCTCGGATTGCTTCTGCTGTGAGTTTGCTTCGAGACAGCCTTTGCTCTCGCAAGGTCATGGCTAATACTAGCAGCAGGATAAACTTTCAAATCTCAAAGCTCTCACCATCTACTCGTCCAAATTCATCGCCAACGTTGACAGTCTTTGTAGATTGTTAGACAGGTGTAGTCTAAAATTCTTCCATTACTCGGCCCCTGCCCCTTTCGCAGCAAACAACGTAGCCATACCTGATGCGACGAGGTTATTTGAACACATTCGACGCCATGGAAATCTCGAGGCCTTGGTACTGAATACGGCCCGTTCCTCCTGGGTGACTCAAGGGCCTGCAGGTAGCGCATCCGAGGCAGCAAACCAGCAAACTCCATGGCCAAGGCTGAAGTTGTTGCACCTCTCAAGTTGCACCGAATATTGGCTGAGAGAGCTACGGAAATTCAACAACTTGACATCTCTTCACTTGGGGCTGCCGGCGCCATATACCCCGGATATTGGCAAACGCATAGGCGACGCTATTATCCCGTGCCGGCATCTACAAGAGATCAATTTTGAACTTTGGGCGCTTGAAGATTTAAACCTCATCCTTGAGCTTGCTCGCGCCTGTCCGCTGTTACGGGGTGTCACTATTCGGCTCGATAACTTTATAGTGATTCCCCAGCTGACGAAACCCTTCTTGTTCGATCTGTTGCGCGAGCTTCCTCGACTAGAGCTTCTTGACATCCTTTATCAAGGTTTAAATTTTTGTATAAATGGATCAGACCTTGCAAACATTTCACTTTACTGCCCGCGGTTACAAGTCCTTTTGCTGCCTTGGGTTACATTATTCCTCTGTTACTTGGACATAACCCGGTGCTATCCACAAGAACGATTGGAGATTATGGAGTTCAGCCGAGTGCTATTGAGGGGTTGTTGGCGGTTAATGACGCCAAATCGCATTCTGATTGAGTGGCGCAGATTATTTCCCAGGCTGCGGGCGATGCCATGCGATATGGCATCTTTTAGTTTCGGCGCAGACTGTGTGTCCTTCCCTTGTACTGTCAGACGTAGTGGGACTGGAGCGTCAACAGAGAATGAGTCCGATAATGGTGCCGATGAGGACATGACCGACAATACGCAAGTGGGCTTTCCTCTTGGCTACAGCCCTGACTGGGAATCCTTTCCTAGAGATTTTGGTGCTGCTCTTGGCTATGAGGAAGAGGTTACCTTCGAAATGCATGATAGGATACGGCATATGTGGCGTACTAATATCGAGCTTGAGTTGGTTGGTTGGCCGGTGGTGCCTTTGGAGTCATTCATCGACCCAAACAGGCAGTCCTCAATTCCTTGAGGTAGGGAGAATACAGGACTGTACTGACATGTACTTCAAATGTCTGGTCAGATTTCCATCCGAAGATTCGTGTGTGTGGCTACTGTCCATGTCATAATCTATCTTGGATGGCGTTGATAGCCAAGTTGTACAGCACAGGCTTGGGACCCCCGTCGCAGCCATGTACAATTGAGAATGTCTTTTATTTGGCTGGCCTTGGACTTGAAAGGCGTACACATATGCTTGCGGTAAGTCACATCAGCATACTGTGAACTGTCAACATTTCTGACAAGCACACAGGGGCGTTGCAAAAAACTCAAAGCTTAGGCGTCTACTTCCCGCTGTAGCAGTCACAGCAGATATAGTCAAATCCCATTACATTAGACGTAGCACAGTCTCTCAAACACGTTCGTTTGTCCCATCAGTACGACCGACATGTTCGACCGTAGCCAATGCCATGGACTTTTCTCCCACGGACTCGATTACATCGTCTCCTGCGAACAATCGATCAACGTCTTCCAACTCCAGCCCTTTAGTCTCTGGGAAGAAGAAGAAAATGATGGGCACCCAAGTCGCGTTGAGAATGGCGAAGATGATGTACGTCTTCCAGCCAATATTCTCAATCGCAATGGGCGTAATTTGCACAACCATCTGATTCTTGCATTAGCAAATGCTAAAAACCCACTTTCTTTCACTAAGCTCGGTCACAGTACTCACATAATTGAAGATCCAGTTTGCTGCAGTAGAAATAGAAGATCCCTTCTGACGCAGCCGGAGGGGAAGAATCTCGGATCTAAGCATGGTTAGTCGCCTGACTTGTGATACCGTCATGAGCGTACTCACGGATACACCCAGACCGTGGCCTGGAACCCAATCGTGAATGCGCCTTGAAATACAAAAAGCATCACTGCGGCGCCAATGCCCGCTGAATGAGAAATGTTCGTCTCGTTCTGCACCTGGTAAATAAGGCCGGCTTGCACAGCCATGGCGGCTGCCATCAAGCTAATCATTGACACGAACTGCGCAAAGTTAGATACTTTGTTGATTGTATCAATATGCACTGCGACATACCAACGGCTTTCGTCCGATTCTGTCAATCAAGAACCAAGGAATAAAAGATGCCACAAAGAACCAGGTCTGTAGAAAACCAGACATGAGTGCGGACATTCTCTCATCAAAACCGATGCTCTTGGAAAACAGCGTGTTTGTATAATCTAGACGAACAAGTTAGAAACCCGGACAAGACCATTCTTGATGGACTTGCAGAGGACTTACAAATAACCGCATTGATTCCACCAAGCTGCTGGAAAGCTTGAATGGAGCAAGCAATCAGCAACCGGGTCTGGGACTTGACACGATCGTTTGACAATAAGTCCTTCCACGAGCCTGTACCAATCGAAGCCTCGAAGGCGACAACTTGCAAAATATTATGATGCTGCCGCTGCACCTCGGGATCGTTGATGGAGGAGGATTTCATTCTAGCGAGAACCCGGAGGCAATCATCCGGCCGGTCGTGAGATGCCAGCCACCTCGGCGTCTCCGGGATGAGCATCAAGATTCCCATCATTGGCAGGATACATACACATTGCAGAATAACCGGGACCCGCCAAGCGTAGCTGCTCGTATGGGAGGAGAATGCGTAATCGATCCAGTAGACGAGGAAGATGCCAAAGTTGAGTGTTGACAACTGGGCGCAGACATCTACACAGAGGGTGAGCTTTTTGCCCAGGTATTTCGGCAAACTGATGAGACTTACAGACTCCCCGAGTGGCCTTGGGGCTAAACTCGGCTTGTAAAACAGGAACTGTCGAGTTGATGATGCCCAGCCCGAGGCCGGATACGATTCGGCCGACAATGAGCTGGGCTCTGCCATAAGAGGACGCCTGCAAGACGGCACCGACAATCATGATCCAACAACCGTGTCCGATGGTCGATCGGCGGCCGAGTCTTTCGCCAAAGATGGCCGAGAGGATTGAACCGAGGAAGCATCCCACTAGTTAATGCGCGTAAGTTGCTGCTCCCAAGGTATGAGCTGCCTCCCCCCGGAGGTCTAGAACAATAGCTGACCTTCGAAAATGGCAACAATGACCCCAATCATCTTGGAGTCCGGGTAATCGAACGAGCTGCCAAAGGCGGGAGAATTGACTATTGCACATTGGTTAGCCGCCACCGGGAACTCTGCATTGCCCGTCGCGTCAGTCTTCGTCCCCGAGACTCACCCAGTCCGCCCATGAGGCCATTGTCGTATCCAATCAACATGAACCCCAGAGATGTCAATGCCGTCACAGTGAGCAGAAGAGCTCGGCCCTCCAACTCGGGCACAGCCATGGCTGAAGGCAAAAAGGGGTGGAACAATTTCAAAAACGAGTCAGGAAATAGCCCAAGACTACCAAGGGAGGTATGTTGCAAAAACAAAAAAAAAATTCTCCAACAAGCTTTGTGCAAGAAGAGAATTCTGCGGCTTCTACACAGGATTCCAATGCATATGTATACGCATACATGTATGTGTATGCATGCGAGGCAAATCGTATGAGATTTTGTGGAGAATCCGGGGCACCCACGATCTCTCATATTAAGCTTCTCCAGAGAGTCCAAAGACGCTTCCACGTTTGGGGTCGCGTGGACAGCGGGCCCATCCACGTTCAAACGCCGCACCAAAAGCCGTCGGCTACCGGCACCGTAGCCTCTGCGCAATCGGCCGATTTATTGGCAATATAACCTGGGTAAATTCCTCTTGGCGGTTATTTGCCGGAATCAACCGGTACGAGTCTGGTTTCTCTCCTCGCTGCAAGGGCGCGAAACCGAGACTCTGCGCTGCGTTTTCCGCGGGACCCATTTACCGAGTCAGACCACGACCCACGAAAACCCTCAAGTGCCGACCACATGACGGACGAACCTAGGTACAGGTTCAAGTTCTTATTGTGTGCGCCCTCCTGCGGTCCGTCGGGCATGTTTTTGGAAACTCGCAATTGAGACTACCCTTGCAGTTGTGGCTGCAATGACTGTGTATCATCTCCAACCCGTGGACAACGACCTTCGGGGTCGGCTGGCCCTGGTTACGGGATCGAGGTGCGTGAGGAGCGCTGGCAATTACCCAACGTTGTCGCTGGACATCAGCTAACAGTCCTGGCTCGCCCGTTAGCGGTGGTATCGGTTCGGCGTGTGCAAAGGCATTGGCGTCTGAAGGCTGCGATGTTGTGCTTCACTACTCTGCAAGCAAAGTGAGTTTGCCCGACAGATGAAAAAAAAAAAAAAAAAATAGAAAGACAAAGAGGACAGGGACAGGAGAGAAAATATAAACTGCGCATGCATGCACTATCTGACCGCCGCCGCAGGAGAAATCGGAATCTCTAGCTTCTGAGCTACAAAATCGCTACCCGTCACAAGTATTCGTCACCGCCCAAGCCGACCTCACGGATCGGGAATCCACGCGGTCGCTCGTCTCCAGAATCCTCTCCGATGCGGTCGTCTCAGAGAAGCACAAGGCTATATCTGTGTTGGTCGCAAACGCCGGGCTTGGACGCCGCATCAGGGATGTCAAGGACATTGGGGAGCAAGATTGGGATGAAATGATGGAGGTCAATATCCGGAGTCAATTCGTCGTGACCAAGTCCTGTGTGGAGGGGATGCGCGCACAAGAATGGGGAAGGGTTATTCTGGTGGGCAGCATCGCGAGTCGCGGGAGCGGACTCAACGGATGCCATTACGCAGCTTCAAAGGGAGCCCTGTCGTGAGTGGCATTGATACAACATTTGAACTCGTGCCGTGTGGTGTCCCGTCCTTGTGTCTAACCGCCTGACAGCTCTATGGGGTTAAACTTGGCCACTCTTCTCGCACCAGAGGGCGTGACCGTCAATGTGGTAAGCCATCGGCATCAACTGTACACGCGAATATTGCCTTTGGCACATGCTGACATATGATGCTAGGTTTCACCGGCCATGATCGGATCAACAGGCATGATCCCAACGCCAAAGGAACGGTAGGCGCTCACTGCTGCACGTCGATCTGCATTTCGCAGTGGCTAATATTCTGGTGCTGTAGGACGTGGGCTTCAGACGTCAACGTCGAGGCGTTGAAAGAATCAGATCCCGGCCTGGCCATTGCCAGCAGCGTGCCAGTGCATCGACTAGGAGCCCCAGAAGAAGTAGCAAACGTCGTGGCAATGTAAGCTTCTTGATAACCCCTGACTCAGAACGCTACCCCCAGGACTAACTGCCAGACAAGGTTCGCAAAGACGGGATACATGACTGGGCAGGACATATTGTTAACCGGCGGTTTGAAATAGTGTATGGGGTTCAGACAATTAAAAGATGCATGTTGCACATCTGGTTGAACAATTCTGGTCGAGCAGAGGCAAATGTCAATTTTCCTAAATACGTTACTATCATGTTTCATCAATGAGATTATCTATGTCTATGGTATATGGCGACTCGGCGTAATCTGCCCACAAATCGGCCACTGCCGCGCTCTCTTCTTATACCTTGGCCACAACGGGCTTCTGCTCAGACACTTGCGTAAGTAGCTTTCCCTGTGTCACGGCGCTCTTCACATTGTCAATAACGAGGACCTCCATTTCTTTCTGTATTCCCAATTGTCAGCAAACGTCTCTTTCGTAGCATTGATGGGGAGAGACACCAACCTGTGTATCAATCGTGGCAGTGCCAATATGGGGTAGCAAAACGGCACCGGGGTGCTTCATCAGCTTTGGGTTGATTTCCGGCTCCTTGGCATACACGTCCAAGCCGACACTCCAGACCTTGCCAGATTCCAGGCTGTCGGCGAGGGCCTCCTCGTCAATAATGGCGCCTCTAGCCGTGTTTACAATGATGACTCCGTCCTTCATCTGGCTGAATTCCTTGGTTCCAATGAGTCCCTGGGTGGCAGGACCCAGCGGCAAGTGCACCGAGATGACGTCGCTGGTCTTGAGCAGCTCTTCAAAGCCGACGTAGTTGGGGACTTGGCCGGGGGCGAATTTCTTCTCCAGGTCGGCGACGGGCTTCCTGTTGTGATACTGCAGCCTG